ATTGACATGTTTGTTCAAAATTCAGAAACTATAAAAATGTAATTATATAATTCCTAACAATTTTTACCTTAGAAGGTTTTGGAGTTGGGTCATGGGTGCAAGTCTTCTTGTTGTGGCCAACTTGGAAACATCTTTGGCATGTCATTTGCAAGCCAAACCTCTTCAGCCTTGTGCTTGTCTTAGCCTCTTCTTCAGGTGCTTTTTTTCTACTGATCTTGGGCCTACCTGGCATTCTTCTGAATGGTGGGGGTTTGATAGGATACCCTGAAGCCTCTGGCCATATCCTCTTCCCATTAAGGGGCTCAATGGGGAATGAGTATGATGCAATGAGCCTTTCACAACTATATACAGGGGATACAAAATCTGTGACATCTTTTTTCAACCAGTGAATATCTGAGCATGCATGGATACAAGGTATACCACTTATGTCCCATTGCCTACATGTACAACTCATATCTCCCAAATCAACAACAAATTGGTCTTCAAAACAAGTGACCTGATATTTGTTTCCTAGAGCAGGTTTGGTGACACACAACCTACTTTTGTACTTAGTTTCCTCTAGTTTTTTTCTAATCCTAGGGCAAATTGAGTCAGTGAGACCACTTCCCATGTTCAGTTTTTCAACTTGTCTTTCCATCACATATGTTCTTATCATTCCAAGCATTTCAACAATAGGCTTTTTCCTAGCCCTAACAATGGTGCTATTGAAGGTCTCACATACATTATTTAGCACCATGTCAGATTTAGGATGCACTGTAATTAAGGCCTTACAAAATCTGAAGTTGTCTTGCTCCATGAACTTGTTGTATGCCTCTGGACACTCAGCTTTCATCTCCTCCAGTGATTCCTTATAGGCTGCAAGGTATGTGCAATGGACAGTCCTCCAGAACATGTTTTTCAGTGTTTGACCCTTGTGTTCTTTCTTCCAGTTCATATAAATGTGTCTTGCACAATTCCTATGCTCTGCCAATGGCCCCAAATCCTTTACTGCATTAATCAGTCCCTACAATCCATTTGAACAAGGTAAAAGTTAAAAGTTATATAACATAATCCACAAACTATTTAAGGAAGGGAAAATATAATTAAAACATTATATCAAGTAGTTTAGTTACCTTTTGTTGGTCACTAATAAAGGTCCAACCCATTCCATCTCTGATGCCAAACTCTTCAAACAAAATATTCAAGAACCACTTCCAATTTGCCTCACTTTCAGAATCTACCACTGCCCATGCAATGGGATAAATCTGGTTGTTTGCATCCTTCCCCACAGCAGTCAACAAACACCCTTCAATCACAGTCTTCAAGAAAGCTCCATCTAACCCAACTATTGGTCTGCACCCACTTAAAAACCCTTTTTTTAATGCACTAAATCCCACAAAAAATCCCTTGAACACAGTACCTTCATCAAGTAGAAATTCAAACCGACCCTCTCTATCTACTCTGAGTAGCTCAACAACATAACTCCTCAGACATGAGTAATGCTCCTCTTCTGTGCCTCTCAACATTTGTAGTGCTTTGTACTTTCCTCTGTAAAGCTTCCATTTAGATGGTTGCACAACATACTTCTGAAGTATCATCTCTTCAAGGTCTCCAATTTTCATTTTTGGTTTTCTCCTGAATGTCTGAAGGTATTCCTTAGCATCCATTTTGAAGATGCTTGTTTGGTTCTCATGTCCCTAAAGCACTTGTGATCTGAGATCAATGTTTTGATGGCTAATCTCCCTTCTGCCTTTACAGTGCTAGCATACAACTTCCAAGGACATGATTCTATACACTTGGCCTCAATCTGACTATGGGTTTGTCTCCATATTTGAATATTGTGACCATTATATATGGAATACTCTTGAATAGCATTCCTAATTTGAGTGACTGACTCAAACCGCATACCAAGTTCAAACTTGAAGTGCTTATGGTCAACCTTGGCATCATACATTATCATTTTTTTCTTGTTCTTCTTATGACTGACACCATCATCTTCACTAAACCCTCCTGAGCTTGAAGAATCAGAATAAACCTCTTCTTCTGAGTCTGCATAATCAGAATGATCTTCCCTCATAGACTGGAAGCCAGTTTCAGAAGAGAATGCAAAGTTTTCAGTTTCTTTATCTGCAACTTTGGAGGCAGCTCTTCTTCTCCTTGCTTCAAAGTATTCTTCATCATCAGTTCCTAATTCATCTCCACTCAATCCATCTGATTCAGAACTTTCTTCTTCTGGAATATACTCCTCATCTGTGCTTTCCTCATGAAAATTATCAATAAGCTGGTCCAAATCTTCTTCAATAACAGTAACATCATCTACTGTTGGTTGCACATCTGATTTGCCTTTTTGCTTATCAACTTCTTCTTGCACATCTGATTTGCCTTTTTGCTTATCAGCTACTTTTGGTTGCACAACTGCTTTGCCTTTTTGCTTATCAGCTACTTTTGGTTGCACAGCTGCTTTGCCTTTTTTTCTTATCAGCTACTTTTGGTTGCACAGCTGCTTTGCCTTTTTGCTTATCATCAGTTCTACCTTCATTATCATGACACACCTCCTTTTCATTTGTGGAACCAGAATCAACATACACTTGAACAAAATGCTTGCCAGGTTGCATCTTAGAAAGCATTTCCATGACACCCTCATCATTGTGCATGTGAAAAAACTTTCTACTGCCATAAGCCCTATAATACAGCTTCTCTCCTTTAGTGTACCCTAACGTTTGAACTACTTCCAATAAATCAAAATAACCAAATCTATCTTTGTCAAATCCATGTCTTTCAGTTAACTCTAATCCATAATACTCAAGCGTATTGCCAATCTTCAGAAAATGCCCACAATGGTTTATAAAAAGCATCAAATCACCCCTGCATATATAACAATGTAATTAGAAAATAGGTTAATGCAAAACATGTATAAGTACATATAAACATAATTAAACCAATACATAAGCCTAATTATGGGCTACTGAACAAAACCCTAAAACCTAAAATGCAGAATAATTAAGATCCTAATTATGGGCTCAACAAAACCCTAACCTCTTAATGCAGAATAATTAAGATCCTAATTACAGGCTAATGAACAAAACCCTAAACCCTAAATACAAGATAATTACTATCCTACATGTTCGCCTAATTTTCAACAACAATTGACCTAAGGTAGCGACAACAGAAGAAAAATAAATAATTACGATCCTACCTGTTCGCCATTTTCGCACATGAAGTTGTCGGCGGACCACAACGAGATTTCTTTACAATACAAGAGAGATTCGATAAGATTTTGTCTTCAGAGTGAAGAGAGAATCAGGGAACGAAGATGATTTTAGGGTTAGAAATTGAAAATTGGTTGCAATTTTTCTATTTAAATCGACGGGTGATGTGCAAAACGACGTCGTTTGTGGATGACGTGGAAAACAAAATTCGAACTTATACACGTCCGACGAAACGACGTCGTTTCAGGGATGAGATGGAAAAAAAATAATTTGATAAATACACATCAGCATGTGAGTTGGCAGCAGACGAAAAGTATGTACCGTTTTGCAAAGATTTGAAGGTTGTGATATCGTATGCAAAAGTTAAAAAGTCGTGATTATTTTGCAATCTCGATAAAGGTCGTGATATTATATGCAATTTTGCCTTTAATTTTAAATATTATTTTAATATACCCACTAACAACTAACCATACAAACTTTTTCAAAACTAACCAAACCAAACAAAAAAAATCTAAACAAAACAATTTTTTTTCATATCCAATCATCCTCTTAATATTTTAATATTATTAGATTTTTATATAGATTTGGCACAAAGGTTAAATTAAAAATAATCAAAATCTAAAAAATTGCAAATAGGTCCTTTATAGTTATCTAATTTCCAACATCAATCCCTAACTTCAAATCCCAATTTTTTGTCCCTATCAACCTCCGAGCAACACACCGACCGACATCCACCAGTCCAACTACACCACCACCACGACGCAAGTCTGGCCATCAATTTTATTACGAATTTATGCTCGCCTAGTGTGATTTCCGTCGATCTCGTCCCCAATTTTTCATGGCAAAGGAACCCCGCCATCGAGTCGCACAGAGGTGACCGAATATACGACGGAGACTGGCGATGATGATAAATATAGGGCGACAACGTTCGAAAGGCTGCGAGCGGCGACGACAATGGGAGGCGCACATCGTCTTCGGCGACAGAATGTGGCGACGCTGCGGCACCGACTTTGTCAGCCCTCTAGACGCAGTAGAATGACAAAACTCCGACATTCTTTTGGGCGGGTACGGAGTCGGAAGTATCGCCGGTGAGAGTAGGCGGCGAAAATGGCTACCGAAATAGCGCCGGTGACTGACGGCGGCAAAAGTCGGCCATGACTGAGCTTGTGAGCTTTGTGTTGTTGGTCGTACACAGTGTCTGAAGTGTCGACGATGGGAGTTGGCGGTGGAAGCGTCGCCAACGATAGTTGGGCGTGGAGAGAGAGAGAGAG